CGTTAGTTACCCCCCCCCCCCCCTACTGCACCTGATCAACATTCTTTTTACGTCAAGTACTTCTCCATTGTCGCCTATGAGTAAATAAAGCCCAAAATTATAGTTATGTAAATCTATATGGTCAGTTTATATATATATAAATCTCAAGGACATGTATTACGTTCAGGTTTATGGAACCCAATACGGAGATTAGAACCGAGTAAGGTATAGTGTTTACATTGAGCACATTTAGTTCAAAACCAACTTAGGACTAATTAGGGACATATCTAGGATTCCGTATCAGGAAGAAGTCCCGATAGAGCTAAACATAAAATACTTAAAATATATACCTAGAACTTTAGATAAAGAGATGAAGAGGATGGGGGGGGGGATGGGAGAGACGAGCACAGGTTCTAAAATTTAATTTATTCGATTTCTTAATCATTTGTCCCGGAGGTACACTTTGTTTACTTTGATATTTTAATTAAACCTACTCAACCTTCTTAACTACTAGCAATGATCCTACTCAATATCTAGCATTAATAGTTTGAACCTACTCAGCAACTAGCATTAATAGCTTGAACCTACCCAATATCTAATATTAATAATTGAAACCTACTCACAACTAGCATTAATAGTTTAAACTTACTCAAAAACTAGCATAAACAATCTAAACCTACTCAACATATAGCATTAATAGCTTGAACCTACTCAGCAACTAGCACTAATTGTTTGAACCTACTCAATATTTAGCATTAATAGTTTGAACCTACTGATTATTTAGCATTAATAGTTTGAACCTACTGAACATCTAGCATTAATAGCTTGAACCTACTGAGTAACTAGCATTTATAGTTTGAACCTACTCAATATCTAGTATTTATAGTTTGAACCTACTGAACAACTAGCATTAATAGTTTAAACCTACTGAACATCTAGCATTGATAGCTTGAACTTACTCGCAACTAACTTTAACCTATACTAGCATTGATTCATTGAATCCTCTCAAGTACCTTCTCAATCACTAGCATTGATTGAATTGAATCTATTTAGAAAATATCTTTCAGAGTTTATCATTTGGATGGATTTAAACCAAGGTATAAGAAATGAATTGCATATGTCAACGATTTTAGTAAATTTCATGACCTGAAAAAAAACCTATTTCTAACAGAACCATCAACTTAACAATACAAAATTACCAATAATTCTTTTTAAATTATAGTTGCTTGCCTTGTTGTTTGTACTAAAGTAGTACAGCCATTAGTATTAGAGAAGTAATTAGCTCTTATCCTTATGTGATATTGAAAAACGTGGAGTTTTTAATCTTAACTAGTTTACCAGTTGGTTGTAAAGATTGCAAAGAGTTGTTAAAATCTGTGTAAATTGCTAATTTAATTAGCATATATTGAATATTAAAATTGAAGGGCTGGGGGGTTCTGATTTGAGATATAGCGATAAAGTCGTCCGTGAAGCTTTGAAATAATAGGGTTGGACCTGGTTGTTTAAGCTGTTGTTTCGAGAATAAATTACATTGGCAAAAACATTATTAAATTGAGGAACATGGTGTTTATATTAATTAGTTTTTCTTTCAGACCTTCTTAATCAACTCAACCCTGGGATGGGTTAGGATTGAGTTGTTGCTCCGGGAACTGATAGGTGCACAGAGTGTGCAGAATATACGTGACTTTGATCTTCAACCGGAAATCCTTATGGCAGAAAGGAAAAGAACAAAGTTCATGCTTTCTTGCTTTCCAGTGTTAGAAAACATAAATATTCACAGCATAATCAGACCTATAAGTTTCTGAGAATGCATGCTAAATAGACCTGGAAGAGGGTTGTATGTATACAGGGATAAGAAATGGAAAGAGTTGTAAGTATAACCAAGTATAACAACTGGAGAAGGGCTTTGTACATACTGAAAATAAATATAAAGAAGGACTGAGCGTTTACTTCAGAGCTAAATATTGTAGAAGGATTCTGCGTAAAAAAATAGACTACTAGCAGTATGCTAGAAAAGACCTAGAGAAGGGATGATTGTCAATTGAAAAAGAGTTAGATAGTTAGGATAGTGTGTTTGTTAGAAAACACCTGGAGAAGGGTTCCATGTAGTTTAAGAATGACCTGGAGAATGTTTGTGGGTGGAAGAATCTCAAACTAAGGAATGAGTTTTCATATCAGGATGGAAATCTTTACGTATTTGGAATATTGCAGCTGGTTCCTTAATTCTAATCAACCAACAGAGAACCTAGATCTTTACAATTTATCCTAGAACCCTTTAAACCTAACTCGTCTAGTTATCCTGGACCCTTTAATCACAAATCTTTTCGTCGTCATCCTGTAGAATTTGAACCTAACCCTCCTGATTTTCCTGGACTCTGTAAACCTAACTCTTCTAGTTATCCTGGACTCTTTATAACTAGCTCTTCTAGTTATCCTTGACTCTTTAAACCGAACTCTTCAGTTATCCTGGACTCTTTAAACCGAACTCTTCAGTTATCCTGGACTCTTTATACCTAACTCTTCAATTATCCTGGACTCTTTATACCTAACTCTTCTAGTTATCCTGGACTCTTTAAACCTAGCTCTTCTAGTAATCCAGAAATCTTCAAACCTAGCTGCTCTTCTAGCTATCCCGAACCGCACTGGATCTATTTCTACGCCTGAATATTATTGGATCTTGCTCTTCTATTCCAAATCTTCTATAATTGTTCTAAAATCAAACTTTTCTTAACATATTAAATTAATTTGAAATATTCTGGAACCCCTAAACTTCACATATTCTGGCTATCTTAAAATACTTTAAATCTTCTAAGATTTGGCATACCTCAGTAACCAGATATTATGGAGAAACTGAACCTTCAAAAAGTTCAACAAAAACCATCATTCTTAAACCCGAACATTGAGTACTGCATGGTTAAGTTGTATTTTGCATGCATTGGGTAAAATATGCATAAAAAGTGTGCAAAACAAGGAATTTGAAAGAACTCGTATAAAGTAGGAATATTGTATACACTTTACATATGTATGTATACATAAGGTTTATTGAGATAAATGTTGAATAATAGAAGGGGTTAAGCCAGCCTGTTCTGCATTCTTACATTTATCAACAAAATCCCCGAATTGTAGATTGTATCAAAAATTCCAGATAAAGAATTTATCAGATATTTAAGATCTCTTTAATCTATAGTTCAAATTCTAGGTTGTCTTCCAATTTAAAGAAGTTTTAATTTCAGTTTTTAGTTTCAGAACTTTTTAATGTTTATTTTGACGAGAGAGAAATATTTGAGTAGTTTTCAGGTCGAAGTCAGCTGAATAATCTTGACTTGCTCCGAGCTACTAAGTATGAAGGTCTCCCCCCCTCCCCCCCTCTACAAACTAGCTCAAAGGAATCCCCCCTTGATTGCTCCAAAACCCCCTCCACTATCCCAGCACAAACTATCCCTTTGAAAATGCAATTTTAACGTTTTTCAAAAACAAAATATTTTCTTCGGTGAAGCAACGATTGCACAGTGCATCAAACTAAACTATAACAAAACAAACTCAGAAAAATCTTACGCATAACATTTACAAGGGTTTATGCAAAATAAAAAAATGTACAAGTACAATAGTTCTTCAGGTTTCCCAGCTTGAAACTTTTAAATCGTTGAAATGAGATGGTTAATCTCACAGTATTCCTTTCCAACTCAGATCAATAAACAATAAACAAATAAATGATTAAATATAAAAATCTATACAATTAAAATAAAGAAACTTTTATGTTTTACCCTAGGGTAGAAATAAACTATTTCTATATTTAGAAATATAAAACAAGATTCCTAATACTTTTCTTCACAAAGAGTGTATAGTTCTATGTAATATTATAATAGAAAAAAAACTGTTCCGCTCAGGTTGATTTTTTTATTCCATACAGAAATTAAATCATATTTTCAAATTTGACAACCTTTTTGTACTGCATGTAAGAATTAACCGTATGAAGTTTATTTATATTTAAAGCATGGAAATGTTCTAAGATAATCAATGCAACCAAAGAGACTTGAATTGACTAGTTTAAAATTTTATAAAAAATAAATGATTCCATCAAAATCTTCAATCACTAATATTTCTAGATTTGAAATTAATTATGCTTGACATTTTGGGTCTAAGAATTAACGGTTTTTGTAAAAGCAGTAAAAAGCAGTAAATCACTTTCTTAAACTTATACAGTCTACCATCTATCCTTTCCTTGCTATATTACAGAGTCTATCATACCTATAGTCTACAACCGTCTTTTCCTATTTTACATTTGACTACAGATCTACGTTGACTATTTGTATCTGATCTACAGTTGACAATTTGTATCTAATCTACAGTGTCTAACATACCTATAGTCTACCACCGTCTTTTCCTATTATACATTTGACTACAGGTCTACGTTGACTAATTGTATCTGATCTACAGTTGACTAATTGTATCTGATCTACAATTGACTATTTGTATCTGATCTACAGTTGACTATTTGTATCTGATCTACAGTTGACTATGTGTATCTGATCTACAGTTGACTATTTGTATCTGATCTACAGTTAACTATTTGTATCTGACCTACAGTTGACTATTTGTATCTGATCTACAGTTGACTATTTGTATCTGATCTACAGTTGACTAATTGTATCTGATCTACAGTACAGTTGACTAATTGTATCTGATCTACAGTTGACTATTTGTATCTAATCTACAGTTGACTTCTGATCTACAGTTGACTATTTGTATCTGATCTCCAGTTGACTATTTGTATCTGATCTACAGTTGAATATTTGTATCTAATCTACAGTTGACTATTTGTATCTGATCTACAGTTGACTATTTGTATCTAATCTACAGTTGACTACTGATCTACAGTTGACTATTTGTATCTGATCTACAGTTGACTATTTGTATCTAATCTACAGTTGACTATTTGTATCTAATCTACAGTTAACTACTGATCTACAGGAAAATGTTTGATATCCTTGCTCTAGATGTTTACTACGAAATATTAATACCTGAACTCGACACCAGCGTTTAGTTTCAGATTCTCAGATTTAACTTGAACCAAACCCGGTCTTTTAATCACTCATTTATATCCCACAGTACACTGTTTAGCCTGAGCGGTACTTACTACGTCTGCACTCTGGCAGGGCCTAGCTTCAACTGGATTCTGGAAGTCTAAGTGCCGGCGTGGAGTGGTCAGGCAAGTTGCGTAATTCAGCTTGTAGACCGTATACGCCAATATCTGCGTGTGTATGTATGTCCACTGGAAGGACTTGGTGGAAAACCTTGCATTAGTTCTATACGCGCATTTCCCCCCCCCCCCATCCTTACGCCTACTAATAGTTATTAGGTAGTGCACAATACATAACCTTCAATCCTTATATGGAATATCCTAGTTTCTCCTCCTAAACATATTTACCATTAATATAATGAATATATCGGTAAGTCAGCATATATCTGAATCGTATATATTATAAATATATATATTTTGCTTTTCTGTCGCTTTGGTTCATTGCATCCAATAAACGTCAAAACGGCTGAACCGAACGGTCCCAATTTTTGTTTGTAGAAATTCAAATTACCCCAGGTCAAATGGCAATTACTGGCTGAAAAAGAATGTAAACTATTCCGATTTTTTTAATCCTTGAATTCGAGATTCACAACACAAAAGTAATGAATCAGTAAAAAAAACTGACACTTAGAGGTTGTGCAAGCGGTAAACCTGACTTAAAAACAAAGTGTAAAAATTAACGGGTAGGACGCCACTAAATTGGGCCATTAATATAGATATCAGTTATCTCCTTAGTCAGCTAGTTAAACAGGGGTATATATTATCTTGAAAAATAATCCCTCCCCTTCACGTTAAACTTAAGATTGAAATTTTATATGTTTTCAATTATGAATCCTCTTATTGAAGATCTATTGAGAAAAACAAAAACATTTGAATTTCTCTGTCTACTTCCCTTAAGATTTACTTCTCTGATTTTGATTTGATGTGGACGGGAGGGGGGCTCGATAAATGATTTTGTTTGTCTGAGTGTTACTTCTTGAAAATATGTATCCAAGAGTTTAATATCGTTTAACCACCATCAATATGAAATTGGAATTTCAGAATAATGATTGTTCTGATTATAAAGGGTTTTCAAATGGATTTATAAACGAAATAAACATCGTTACCCGGAAAATTTTAAAAACTAAATAGACAACTCTACACATTTTTTTATTCTTGTTTTTCAATTATGTTTCCAATTCTGCTAATTCTAAAAAAAATAGAGGTGAACATCATTGATTATGTTTGATATTATAATCAGGAAATCTAAATTATATAAAAACCTTCTTTGCGCTATTTGTAATGTGTACATTGTACTTGATGTATAAACAAAAAACTAGATTTTATGCGTTTATTAAAATTTCAACCGATTTGTTAATAAATTCTCCGTCGTAACTCTTTAAAAATCACATTTGAACGTACTTATTTTCTCTTTTTGTCCTGTCACTCTGTGTCTTTTAATAAGTTTAAAGTTTAAAGCAAGAAACCAAAATATTTTCTTCAGTGCATTGCCATTTTCGTATGGAGGGTCACTTGAAATTACGCTTACAGTCCCTTTAAACTATAAAAGCAAATGTATAGGTTATTTGAGAATGTATAGGGGTCCAAACAAACATAGAAATTAACTGCCGACTGTTAGATTTTTTTAATCTAGATCTTGAGATTTTCAAAATGTGTTCTACCAAATTTGAAATTTGAAATTGAAGGAGATTTTTAAAAAATCATCAACTTGATAACTTATCAGACCAATCAAAAGTGTCAATAATAAGGTAGAATATATTTTGGAAAGCTAGACTCTAGTTAAATGTTTAAATATCATAATTAGGAGATGAATTTGAAGTTGGGGCACCCTGTATTTATGTACATACATATGTAGATTGTTGAACAGTTCATGACGGACCTATTAGTAGATAAAGAGACTGATAAGCAACCCTTCAAATCTAGATCGAATCATTATTACACATGTAAACAAAAAACAAGTTCATTTTGTTTTGGGTTTGTTCTTGTTCTTGTTAAAAAAAAACTTGATTTTGATATACATCTCTGGAATTCCTGACATGTCATCTTAAAAAATCAATTTGTGAAAATCAAAACTTAGAACTAAATAGAAAAAAGAACATTTTTCACGTAGGTAGTAAAATAACTGAAAAAGTCAAAGGTTTCTTGATAAATGAATGAATTAATCATGATTTTAATATTAGTAGCAAAGTAAGTGAAAAAAGTAAAAAATTAATTGATTCATAATAGATAATCTTAAGAATGAAATTACTCATTATAGTGAGTAAGTGAGAGAAGTTAAAGAGCTGAGATTATCCTTATGATTTGAGTTTCTCTCTTCATTTCGTCAGTTCTTTAGTTCGTCTACCTAGGACACTAACTAATGAAATAAATGGTAAACTAGGAATCCCTTAAACTTAAAAGATACGGGAAAGCAAGCAATTAATCTGTATACCAAACTTTTGACGAAGTGGTGAACTAAACAGGTGAGAAGAGCAGACCAAACTGTGGACTAGGTAGAAAACCAAACAGATCAGAACAGCAAACCAAACTGTGGACTAGGTAGTAAACCAAACAGGTGAGAACAGCAGACCAACTGAGGACTAGGTAGAAAACCAAAAGATGAGAACAGCAGACCAAACTTCTGACTAGCTGGTAAACCAAACAGGTGAGAACAGCAGACCAAACTGTGGACTAGGTAGAAAACCAAACAGATGAGAACAGCAAACCAAACTGTGGACTAGATAGTAAACCAAACAGGTGAGAACAGCACACCAAACTGTGGACTAGGTAGAAAACCAAACAGATGAGAACAGCAGACCAAACTGTGGACTAGGTCGAAAACCAAACAGATGAGAACAGCAGACCAAACTGTGGACTAGGTCGAAAACCAAACAGATGAGAACAGCAAACCTGTCTGTTGATTAACTAGTATACCAAACAAGAATGAACAGTAAAGCAACTTCTGACTAGCTGGTAAACCAAACATGTGAGAACAGTGGACTAGGTAGAAAACCAAACAAGTGAAAAAAGGAGACAAAACTGTGGACTAGATAGTAAATCAAACAGATGAGAACAGCAGACCAAACTTCTGACTAGCTAGTAAACCAAACAGGTTAAAACAGCAGACCAAACTTCTGACTAGCTAATAAACCAAACAGATGAGAACAGCAGATCAAACTTCTGACTAGCTAGTAAACCAAACGGGTTAAAACAGCAGACCAAACTTCTGACTAGCTAGTAAACCAAACGGGTTAAAACAGTAGACCAAACAATATAAAAACATTGTTAAATAAATCAGTTAAGAGCTAAGCACTAAAATGAAACTAAAGAATTTTATATGTTTAATATCAATTTATGCATAATCATCTAAAGCACAATGCACAAATTTTTAGGTTTCATTTGATTATATACATTCTTAAAGTTTGCGTAATTTCATACGATCCTCTCTGCAAAGATGGGAATGCCCGATTCACAACAGTACCCTTGAAACCTTTATCTGATCAAAATTTCTATCAATTTCAATTTGTCAATTTTTCTAGGATTAAAAGTGTTTAATTCTGAGAATTTCATTATGTTTTCCTGCAGTAGAAATTCTCAAGCCACTTTAGTAGAGAAAAAACATGAAGTTTGATTAGTACTTGATCAGATGGAGCATTAAAGGGTACCGTTGTAAATCGGACATTTCCATCCTTGCATTGAGAGTCACTTGAAATTATGATTACAGTGTATAAAATGTATAAAATGTATGAAATGTATAAAATGTATAAAATGTATAAAATGTATAAAATGTATAAAATGTATAAAATGTATAAAATGTATAAAATGTATAAAAGGAATTGAGTCTTTGCAACAAATCTCAATTTTCTAATGCCTATACATCTACAACCAAATTATGTATTCCTTTGACATTTCAAACTTTGATTGTTTGATATAACAAAAATCATAGTTTGAAATATCTAAGATCTACAACATTGGGTTGTTAAGATATAGGGATTTAAAAATCAGAGTTTGTGACAAAGACTCAATTCCTTTCCTATTTTGTTCAGATATTTTCATAAAATTCAATTTATGTTACGTCCCCCTTACTCTTTACAAAAATGTAATGGAGCTTAAATTGTCTACAAAGAGGAATTTCAAATTACCGACCCTCATCCCTTGAGGCAACAAATCCTGTCCTGTCTATTTCAACGTCCACCTGGAGCTGGGCTTCTAATTCTAGGGCGGAGATAAGAATTGTGCTCCGGGAGCAACATAACTACCCTCACTCAACCTAGAGGATGCACGACAAGTCGGAGATTGTTTAGAGTTTAGACAAAGCATGAGCAGTTCATTTTTTAGTTATTTACTTTTCAGATACATTATCTTATACCCCTTAAACAGAGGGAGAAATGATTATCAAACAACAAATTAAAAAACTTAATTAACTGATAAAAAAACTATACCAGCCCACTACCCCCCCCCACACCACTATTCAGGAAATTTTTAACTGGATAACGACAATTTAAGAAGCATTTAATTATTATTTCTATATGCGATGCTTCTAATCTTTCAAGGAAACGATAAAAATCTAACCTAAAACCAATGAAGATACAAATATATCTCAGGATATTCTTGATATATTTCAAGGAAGAAAATGATGTGTTTGCAATGACCCCGTTTACACGATAATACCAGGAAAACATGAATCCTTGAGTTTGAGTTCAAGATTGCTCCAACTTCTTCAACCCAGCTCCAAACCTTTTACTCCGACCGGAAAAGGATTCCAGAATGGTGAGTGAGTCAGCTGTTTATCCATGTTGCTGGTTTCTAAAGAATTGAAGAAGAATCTCACAATGCCAACTGTCTAAATTAGAAATACAAGTGACTGAATTCCTATTGTTACATCGTCATACTAGAAAAGATGATCCTAACAAAAGTGTTAACGTCCATTCCTCATCTACTTCCACCCGAACCTTACAAAATTCTCTAGATTCCTGCAACTTAATAAATTAAGCCATATTTAGCTATTTAAACTTTTTTTTATCTTCTGTGAAAATCTTTCTTCAGCTTCCTTCAGCTTCCTTCAGCTTCCATCAGCTTCCTTCAGCTTCCTTCAGCTTCCTTCAGCTTCCCTCAGC